AACACGGAACTAAATAATAAGGCCAGGCAAAGGGGGAAAAGGCCGGAGCTGGATGGCAAAACGGTACGCGCAGCCCCGCCAACGGCCATCTCGTCCAGCATCTTTTCAAAGCGGAGGCGCTTTCGAGATGGCCCAGAAAAGCAATCCGCTCTCCGCCCTCGGGAGTCCCCCGCGCCCGGAGTTTAGGGGCCCAGCGCCCATCTCTTCCCTGCCTCGCCCCCGCCCTCGCCGCTTCCCCGCACGTACCGATGAGGTTGGGAACGAAGAGGAAGATATTCTCTGGCTTCATCTCGCCGCCGGCGCGATCGGAGGCGCCCTGCAAAGCCGGCCCGGCCCCGGGTCCAAGGCGAGGCTGAGATCAGGCGGCACCCATCGCGCTCCTCCCAGGGCACCCAGGCGTCCCCCCGGCCCCAGCCGCTCTCGCCCGCGGGAGAAGAGCGAAAGAGCAGCCTCCCCGCCGACGCGCGGACGATGCACTGCCGCTTCCTGAAGTCTTCCAGTCTCCGAAGCGGGAAGCGCCATTTGTAAATGGGGAGAGGGGAGCCGTTATATTGCGAGGCGTCATGGCGCGGTGATGGGATGAGGCCTCCTTCCATAAGTCGCGTCTCTCGTCTTTCAGCTTCAGGGGAGCTGTCTTTGGCCCCCTTTCTTTCCTTTCTGCCCCTCCCCGTGGGGCATTTCCGGGAGTAAATGTGCTCGCGGTCCCCCGGGAGTTCGGATTGGTTCAGTCCGACTCCCGAAAGGGCTGGAGAGGGAATCTACCTTTCCCCCCTGAGTTGGAGTTAGTCCGCGGGAAGATCGCTCGGAGGACTGAAGCTTGGAAAGCCTTCTTTTGCAAATTGGAAGAGATCGAAAGGAGCTTTTAAAGGAAGAATTGCGCTTTTCGTGGTCACTATCTATTATTTATTTATTATTAAATTTTTATGCCGCCCGTCTCCCCCAGAGGGTGACTGGGCGGCTTGCAATTAAAACCAAGACAATAAAACAATAAAAATAGAAATACCCCCCCCCCCATTAAAACCCAAATAAATCTATGAAATGGGTGAAGCAGTATCAATCATCCCACGAGCCAGCTCCAGCAATGCGAGCCCCCTTCAGGACCCCAGGCCATTGGGCATAAATTTCTTTTATTTTTGTGAATCTGTGTTGTTATAGGTTTTAATTGTATATTTATTTGTTTTAATGTGTTGTGAGTCGCCCAGAGTCCCCCACTGGGAGGAGATGGGTGGGGGACAAATCTAATAAATAAACAAACAAACAAACAAACAAACAAACCATGTTTTTACACCTTTTTGGAAGGCCAGGAGAGTGGGGGCAGCCCACACCTCAGCTGGCAAACTGTTCCACAGGGCAGGGGGCACAGCAGAAAAGGCCCTCTTCCTAGACCCTGGAAGTGGACCCCTAGATCACGGTCACTATAGATTTTTAATGGCTCCCTTAGTGGATCCTGTTTTCTAGCCCAACTGAAGCCATGAAAGCAAAGCGAAGGAGCATCAAATGAAGGGTCTATGACGGTTCTTGTAACGCCTGGGAAAAATCCAAGGCAGTATTGCTCAACTTCTGTGACTTGGAGATGTGTGGACTTCAACTCCCAGAATTCCCCAGCCAGCCATGCTGGCTGGGGAA